TCGACCCAAGCGCCGCGCGATCCTGATACGGGCGCAAAACCCACTGTTCCGAGGCCTAAGGAGACATTCACCAGGAGCCGGCGAGGTGTTTCAGCTTACTTTTTCCATTTACAAGCAAACGGAGTTGTCAGTATCTGTTAACGGAACATACGTAGTTTCAGTTTATAATATGGATAGCATTTGCCTAAAATGGATTAGTCGCTTCGTGTTAAATAGCGAATTTAGGTATGAAGTATCAATTGCACTTTGTCGATTGCTTGGTCTGTGACCTCTGGCAAATAAAATGTCAAATACGCAGACGTTTTTCGGCGGGCTCGCAGGCACGACGTCGCGGTGTCATGACGCGCTTCAATATTTCGTGTGAGCGGTCGATGTCGTAAATCAAGTATAACAAGTAAGATGAGGTATTGGCTACTTAAATAAGGGTGGGTGATAGACGCAGATTTGTCGTATACATTATACAGTTGTATGTAGACGTAAAATAGCCTACGAAGGCTAGCTGTCCCTTTACATTTGTGAGCCTCACGTTGAACGATACGCTCAAGCTGCACTATTCGGCTAATGCGGTGCTCGGCAGAAAGATTGCTAGGAGTGGCGTTACGCACAAACTAGACCACTCGTCCAATCATAGCCGTAGTTAGGTCATGGCGTCGGCCACAACCGCATTTTGGGGAAGCAATGTTCACACTGAAGGTTCCGGATGTTGCTGTATCTGGCTACTGATAGAAAGCTGATGTGCTGTGGTGCTGTAGCGCTCAGGGCTTATGTTCTGCTGTAATGCTCGAATCGGTGCCAGTCGTTAGCCCGACCTGGTTTTCTTCAGGTTCCCCAAGAATACGGAAAGGTGGGAAACGATTCTGTGTTTGTCGAATCCATCGTGAGAAGAGTTTGTGCCATCTTTGTTGATACATGGTAGCTACCAGTGAGCAGTGTAGTGTTTGATGCACGAGGGCGGCGATGTTAAATTTGACAACGACGGTGCGCCACTGTGCCTCTTATGTATAAGAAACCCTGTCTATTGCCGGTGCCTGGCAGATGTGCTGTTACATTGACTAGGAAGAAAAAACATGGTATGTGGGGGGCCTCGTTATGTTATTACAGAATCTTTGTTATTACAGAATTGAGTAGGCAGAGAAAAGCTTTTAAAATATGACATGGTAATTCCAGCTGAGCTCCAGACATCTGAAGTAAATCGAAGAATTAAGTGAAGTAGGAGTGAAACTGACATCAAGAGGCTGTAATCATGCAAGCTGTTAGGAACTCTTATGCCATCACAGAGAATCATGCAGTTATAGTGAACGTTAGGCTCAGATTAGGTAACGTGTCTATAACGAGTATTCCATATTAAAGTTTTGTGGAGATATAGTCTGTGGCATATGAATGTTTACTGAAACCATTGCTATAACTATAAGCTTTGATGTAATGAAAACTATTAGTTCCCACACCGGGAATCGAACCCGGGCCGCGGCGGTGAGAGCGCCGAATCCTAACCACTAGACCATATGGGAGTAACTGATTCTATGTTCACGAAGCAAAACTGTTTGTTTAATTTTTTTAAAGTAGAAACATTGCAAAACTAAGATTCGTACATGTAAAACTATGTTCCCACACCGGGAATCGAACCCGGGCCGCGGCGGTGAGAGCGCCGAATCCTAACCACTAGACCATATGGGACCATCTTCTTGTATCTGAAGCAAAGGTTTCCGTTTCTCCGTAGGAAATCGTATTTAAAAAAATAAATATTTTGTTAAACACATGTAAAACTGCAGTTCTCACACCGGGAATCGAACCCGGGCCGCGGCGGTGAGAGCGCCGAATCCTAACCACTAGACCATATGGGAGCAACTGATTCTATATGTTCACAAAGCAAAACTGTTTGTTTAATTTTTTTTAAGTAGAAACATTGCAAAACTAAGATTCGTACATGTAAAACTATGTTCCCACACCGGGAATTGAACCTGGGCCGCGGCGGTGAGAGCGCCGAATCCTAACCACTAGACCATATGGGACCATCTTCTTGTATCTGAAGCAAAGGTTTCTGTTTCTCCGTAGGAAATCGTATTTAAAAAAATAAATATTTTGTTAAACACAGAGAGCGCCGAATCCTAACCACTAGACCATATGGGAGCGGCTCAATCTCTGATAGATCGCCTTGCCCTAGCGATGTTGCTGTATATCATCCTCTGATTGGTTGGAACCTGGGTTCGTCCAGTGCTTGTGTGATGTTCTACAGATTGTTACATTGACCAGGCAGAAAAAATAAGTATAACATGGTAGCGCTATCTATTGGAGGATACAGAAGTAAACAGGAAAAGTTCATTAATAGTCATACTGATAGTATGCACTGTAATCATATTATTACAATATCTCATGTTGCCACTGGAAGACCCTAATATAGTGGTCCAGATGAGGTGCAGGTATGGTTATTAATATTATAATCAATAGCCTAGGCTGCATTTGTTATATATGTGGCTGTGGCCACTTGCATATATATGTTTAATGAATTAAACCATGCTAAACTTTGATTTGTTGGAACTTGGATTATGTATGTTGGTGCCTGGGATATGTGCTGCAGGTTGTTACACTGACCAGGTGGAAAAATCCATAGATATCATATACACATATATTTATGTATATATAGATATATAGATGTATATATATATAATTATTTATATATATAATATATTATATATATGTATGTATATATATATATATATATATATATATATAGATATTATCAAGAGTAGATAATAAACATAAAAATAGATGTTTATTATCTACTCTTGATATTATATACACGTGTATATGGAAAATTGTAGTAAACTGAAGAAGTAAAGTAAGATACTGATACTGATAGTGAGAGCTGTAAACATGCTGTTAAAGAATCTTATGCCCTTATTGGGGACTGATATAGAGGGCTGGGTCAGGCTCTGATACAGCTATTAAAGCCACTACACTGCATTTGTTAGGTTGGGCTGTAACCAGTCGCATATATATGTTTGCTAAAACCATTGCTAAGATTTACACGCGTAGAATCTCAGTTCCGACACCAATCTCAGTTCCAACACCCGGATGCAAACCTGGACTGCAGCACTGAGAGCGCAAGGGTTTCAGTTATAATCAGTAAATCATCTAATAATTGGATGTTGGTATAGGAATGCTCCTGCAAGTCACTCTGATTCGTTGAGCTGTTCGTTTTCTGAGTTCAACTTCTACAGTGCCTTCCAGCTAGCTGCTAGACAATAGGGAGAAAGTGCATCTGTGTTATCAAAGCAACACTGTCTAGTTCACTGAGTAAATATATGGTAAACCTAAGATATGTGTACGTAAAACTATTAGAACGAACTAGAACCACGTCTAGAATTGAACCAACACTACTGCGGTGAGAGCGCCAAATGCTAACTAGTAACTACTAGACCATATGGGAGCAACTGAGATTTAGACAATGGAGCGAAGGTCTCAGTTTCCACATGTACTGTATCCAGCAGTTGTCATGCAGTTTTAAGGCCATCATATATTGTATAGTGATGATGCAGGGTGCGAAATTAACGCGAGTCCAGAGTCAAATACTCCCTGCTTTACTGTCGGACTCCCTGATTTGACATATGCAGGAGTCCGTGTGACTCCCTGAAAATTCTGCTATATACTAACTAGTTCGTTCCAGAGCATGGCCTCGTGGAATTGCCGTATTTTTTCATCAAATGTCCAACGAAAATTGGGCAGACGTGCAACCGCATGAATCTTCAAAATAAGCACATGCGTTATTGTTAAAATATCTTTAGTTTTGAACTTCAGACTGTGGACTCGATCCCTCATTTTACCTTGGACTCCCTCTTTTTGAGGGCAAACGGACTCCCTTGTTCAAAGGTTAATTTCTAACCCTGCATGTGTATGTTATTGTCAGGATGACTGTCCAGTGAAACCCCTGAAATATTACATTAATGTCACTTTACGATATCCTTCTAAAGATATCCATGCATAACTCAGCAATTCACTTTCAGCCACCTGCTCGTTCGAAGCTGTAGACATCTGTGGCTTTCAAGATGACGTCACGGCAGATTTCAACTGGGTAAGACATGCGGAGGGAACTCCAACTCTTGGAACCGGACCGTCATGCGATCACACATATGGAACCAGCTATGGTATGCCAGAAGAATGCCAGTGATATCTAACAATGGAAGGAATCACAATGCAAAAATTAGCTTCACATTTCATGTTCGTTTAAAGCTAGCAGCACACTTCACCATTTTCGTTGCTCGTACAGGCAATTTTCGTGGTCGCAATTTTTGTGGCCGTTGCCGCGTCACAGCACACTTCACCACAAGTTGCCACCACGAGCAATTTTCGTGGTGAGAAATCAAACCGGTTTGATTCTCGGCAACTCGTGGTCACCACTAAATTTCCGTGGTGAGTGATCGTTGCCGGCCCCCGCACACTTGGCAATTTTTGTGGCGACCACGAAAATTGCCTGTACGAGCAACGAAAATGGCGAAGTGTGCTGCCCGCTTAACAGAATATTCCTTATTTCCCTGTAGGATGCTAGGCAGGAATACATGATAGCAGTAGGGTTATAGATTTTTAGATTTTAGATTTTCCCACAGATGTAATTACATGATATCTGTAGTGTACACATAAATTGTGTACGAATCTATTCTGTCTAATGCTAAAAAATTGATGATGATCTGTTACCTATCCGGAAGGAGTGACTGGGTATGGATGTACAGATTATTGCTATGTTTGAACCACATTCATAGGGTATGGACGTTTTTTGTTACATGTCCTGGAAACAAAACTGATAGTAACCTGACTATGTTATTGCCTACACACTAGAGGCCATTACCGTGCATCCATGAACATAACATGAGTTCTCTCGATTACATAAATCTAAATATATTTACACATTATACTTTATATCGCATTGCAATGAATTTCACTCATCTATTTTATCCAGTAACATCTCCTTGTAACAGACCGGCCATTATTTCACTGCAGGACACTACATGTACGTGGAGACGTCTAGCCAGGTGAAGGGTGGGAAGGCCCGGCTCATCAGCAATCTCCACTACGCGACAGATGGTCAGTGCCTCGTGTTCTACTATCACATGTATGGCACCGCTGTGGGCTCCCTCAACGTGTACACACGGCAGGCGGGACTGCTAGGCAGTGTTGTGTGGACCCTCGCTGGTGATCAGGGCGACCGCTGGTACAAGGGCATGGTGGATGTTGCCTCCTCGACAACCTTCAACGTATGGAGGACATTTTTGTTCTAGACGTGTTCTTTTTGTTGTCTGTCATCTTAATCTTCTTCTTCTTCTTCTTCTTCTTCTTCTTCTTCTTCTTCTTCTTCTTCTTCTTCTTCTTCTTCTTCTTCTTCTTCTTCTTCTTTTTCTTTTTCTTTTTCTTTTTCTTCTTCTTCTTCTTCTTTTTCTTTTTCCTCCCATTCTTCTTTTTCTTCTTCTTAATTATCATCTTCTTCTTTGCTTCTTCTTAGTCTCCTGTTTTCTCTATATTTTTTCCCTTATTTTCATCCTCCTCCCCTTCTCATCATTCTCCACTGCCTCCTTGTCATCCTCCTTCCCCTTCTCCTCTACTTCTGTTACTTCCTTTTCTTCTCCTTCTTCCAAATAAGTAGAAACGAGTATACTGTCATGCTAAGCTATGCCATCTAAGTAAAACTCGTAGCTAGGGGAGTGGAAAGAGTTTCCCTCACCACTAGAGACTTATATTCATCCTAATACGATTCTCCCAGTACTGTTATATCAGACTAGAACTGTCAGCTCATCTCTGTCATCTATCAAGACAAAATCAGGAAAACTGCAGGAATGTAATTATAAATTAATTGTTTATTTCACTTTTATTTGTTTGGTTCAAAATGGTAATAAATACGGCATTGTTTACTTAATTAAATTAAATATTCATTTCTAACATTCAACCTTCTTTTTCTTTCATAATAGGTTGTGTTTGAGGGTGTCGTTGGAAGCAACGTCAAGGGTGACATTGCCATTGATGATGTATTCCTACTCGATCAAGCCTGTCCTAACCCAGATGCCTGTGACTTTGAATTCGATTTGTGTAGTTGGAATAATGAGCAGGGTGATGACTTTGACTGGATACGACACAAAGGTGTATCCACGATGACAAGTACAGGCGCACAAGGAGATCACACTCTGAATGGAACCGGTAGGAATTTAATTTATTACAATGAAAATCGTTTATACGATAACCCATAGCGTGTGATAATTTTCATGCATTGTTGTCAGGTCTACCCACATAGAACAACTGTTTTGTGTGGGTAGACATGCTTAGTAGTAATAGCTGACACTAAAGATTATTGACTGCAATATGGTATTGACAGGATTTCTTGAAATATACTTGCCTAGGATAAACAGATGCCGTGACATCCTAATGTTTGTGAATTTGAGGTCGCTCTATATCAGTATCCCCATCACATTGTATTGCAGCATTGTTAAGAATCTCTAATCAATCAATATAAATTTATTTCCACTGCAGGTTACTATCTCTTAGCTGACTCTTACTATCCAAGAGCTAAAGGTTCTAAGGCGAACATAGTTTCTATTGAGTTCTCCAAGGATGAGCCTCAGTGCATGACCTTTTGGTACTACATGCATGGCAAGACGATTGGAAGCCTTAACTTATATGCAAGGAAGTCGGTCAGCAACACCAACGAGACGCTGTGGGGCAAAGCATTAGAGCAGGGAAACACATGGTTGTTTGGGTAATAAGATACTGTCAGGAAAACGCAATAAACGTGAATTGCAGGTTATTACATTGTCCAGATAGTGTAATGGCTATTGCTTCCTTTACATACACGCGATATCAACCTGCATAGACAAGAAAGGCTGTGTGGGTAACATAGTCTGCCTTATGCAGAGTCTTGCTATACAGCATGACACCAGACCGCTGATAACAGCTTCATCAATATGACAAATTGTCATTAAATTCATGTCAACGATTCAGTATTTGATCATTTTTTCAAAAGGCTAGTTTTTAAAGATGTAGCTACCAGCTAATGAATCTTTAGAAGCTTCTATCTCTAGTAGTCAATTGTCGGTACGTGTGACTGATGATGATTGACGAACATGTGTTTTCAAGGTGTACACAAGATGGTGACTAATCTACATGATTTCATCTTGCAGGTTTGTGACAATAGCAAACATGACCGAAAATTATGTTCTCGTGCTTGAAGCTGTGATTGGTGATGTATACTACTCTGACATGGCTATAGATGACTTCAACATCATGCCGGGAGTCTGCGTAAATGACACAGGCTAGTATATTGACATCTTAGTCTAATTATGCTTTAATTAGTTGTATTGTTATATTGACATCTGTTAAGTCATTCCAGGTATTAGCAGAGAGGGTGCAACATATTCTTTCCTTATTGTATAATTCTTAAACTTGATTTAACAAATTGTGTCTCTGCAGTCACCTGGTTATGCAGAATGTATGCCAGAATTAACACATGTAAACCTATAATTACAGAACCTACAGAGAAACCATTTACATGCAATGATGGAATGACAATCCCAGGCGCGAAGCACTGTGACTTTATCACAGATTGCCACCAGGGAGAGGATGAAATGAACTGCGGTACGTGGCGACTTAATCACTCTTCATCAGCGCCCTTCTCAGCATCTTATCCTTACTTCTGGCTCAGTCATGAGTTCTCATGTTCCATTTCCTATTTAAATACTCTTTTATTGTATCCTCCCGAACGAGTTCGGGGGGATACTATGGATTTGGCATCGTCGTGCCGCCGCCGCCGCAGAGATTTCCTTGGGAGCGCTCTACCGGCTGCAGTTCTTCTCGGATCATCTTCAAATTTCGCATGAAGGTGCGTTATCGTAAAGCGAAGACGCCTATCGTTTTTGGTGTGGGCGGAGTCATCGTTGCCATGGTAACAACATTTTTTGTCGAAATATTCTAGAACCTGTAACTTCTGCAGTTTTTACCTGATTGTCATGAAATTTGGCACACAGGACCAATATATACATATATATAGGACATGTTATATCGGCCCTGTGTGCCAAATTCCATGACAATCAGGTAAAAACAGCACAAGTTACAGGTTCTACAATATTTCGACAAAAATGTTGTTACCATGGCAACGATGACTCCGCCCACACCAAAAACCATTGGTGTCTTCGCTTTACCATAACGCACCTTGGCATCTTGGGGAGAAGGTGTGCACAGTACCAAAACCAGGTCACTGCGACCTTCATTTCACCTTTACCTTGACCTTGATCATATTTCCCTTCTGCTCTGTAACTCGGCCCCTAATTCACCTAGCGCTACCAAACTTGGTATACTTTCACATCTTGGGGAGAAGGTGTGCAGAGTACCAAAACCAGGTCACTGCGACCTTTATTTCACCTTTACCTTGACCTTGATCATATTTCCCTTCCGCTCTCTAACTCGGCCCCTAATTTACCTAGCGCGATTAAACTTGGTATGCTTAGATATCTTGGGGAGAAGGTCTGTCGCATACCAAAACCACCACTGCCCTTGACCTTAGTTTGACCTTGACCGTCGACTTACATTTCCTCTTCGGCTTCCTAGGATAACCAGATTCCATATACTTGCACATCTGAGGCAGACCAGTTGTCTAACAAACCTTTGTCTTTGTGACTTATTTAAATTTACCTGCCTTCTACGTCCTTACAGAGATATTCCATTCATACTAGATCACAGGGGATACATGTAGTTGGCGACAACTGCGTGTTTCTAGTTTGTATCATGTATTCAAACCATTGCTAAAAATTGGTGGTTTACATCAATTTACTTCTGTATAGCTAAGCCTTTATCAAAATGCGAACGGTTGTTGTAGTTGAGTGATCTAGATTGGTCTGTTGTGCCTGCCAAAAGCTGACTGGGTTTTTCATCTGGAAATTGACCTTTTTTCCAATGTCACACAATGTACGAAGATATCTCAGTGAAAAGGTCTATTGCAGTCAATGATGATTGACTTATAGGACTACCTTATTATCAGTTTGAAAATCCAATTCACAGTTAGGTGCACATTTGAGAATGGGATGTGTGGATATTACGATGATAGCCATGGAGCCTTCAAATGGCAGCGAGGCCAAAATAGCACAGCAATGTCAAACACTGGTCCCTTGGTTGACCACACTCTTGGAACCAGCAACGGATGGTAAATATCTGTACTCTTTTTATGGCAGTACATATGTGCATGTGAGTTGCTTCTAAAGAAACGTTGCTAGACTCATGTAAAATTAATGCACACCTATTTTATCATGTATGGGTGTATATTCTCTGACCTTTTGTACATGTTCATGAGACATGTATGTAGTGTCCAAAAGTCTACTTATGTATTTTCAAGCCCTGCATTCTCTGTGCTTGGTACATAGTACATAGTTTGTTGACCCTTGTAATTCTAGATGCGTGTCCATGGGCGCATATATGTCACATATGTTTGCTTGATATCCACTATTGTTTTATGTACACATATGTGAACATGTAATCCAAGTACATGCATGCATGCAGTCTTGACATCTTCACTCATCATTGTAGGTACATGTATGTGGGCGTCCATATCTCATTATAAGTACATGTATGTGGCCGTCTATATCTCATTATAAGTACATGTATGTGGCCGTCTATATCTCATTATAGGTACATGTATGTGGATGTCTATATCTCGTTATAGGTACATGTATGTGGACTTCTGTATCTCGTTATAGGTACATGTGTGTTGACGTGTACATCTCGTTATAGGTACATGTATGTGGACTTCTGTATCTCGATATAGGTACATGCATATGGACGTGTATATCTCGTTATAGGTACATGTATGTGGACTTCTATATCTCGTTATAGGTACATGCATATGGACGTGTATATCTCGTTATACATAGGTACATGTGTGTGGCGTCTATATCTCGTTATAAGTACATGCATGTGGACGTCTATATCTCGTTATAAGTACATGCATGTGGACTTCTATATCTCCTTATAGGTACATGTATGTGGACCTCTGTATCTCGTTATAGGTACATGTGTGTGGACTTCTATATCTCCTTATAGGTACATGTATGTGGACCTCTGTATCTCGTTATAGGTACATGCATGTAGACTTCTATATCTCCTTATAGGTACATGTATGTGGACCTGTACCTATAAGGAGATATAGATGTATGTGGACGTCTATATCTCCTTATAAGTTATAGGTACATGTATGTGGACCTCTGTATCTCGTTATAGGTTTGTGTGCGTAGACGTATATCTCATTATTGATACATGTATGTGGATGTCTATATCTCATTATAACTTATAGGTAAATGTATGTGGACTTCTATATCTCATTATAGGTACATGTATGTGGACTTCTGTATCTCGTTATAGGTACATGTATGTGGACGTGTACATCTCGTTATAGGTACATGTATGTGGACTTCTGTATCTCGTTATAGGTACATGTATGTGGACTTCTGTATCTCGTTATAGGTACATGTATGTGGACTTCTGTATCTCGTTATAGGTACATGTATGTGGACTTCTGTATCTCGTTATAGGTACATGTATGTGGACTCGCGTAACGGCACGTCGTATGACCTCGCGACCCTGCGCAGCGAGACGCTGCATAACTCCGGTGGTCAATGCGAGCTCAGCTTCTGGTACCACATGTATGGCACCTACATCGGTATGCTTAATGATGTCCCTATAATTGATTATAATCGATAAACGATCGTTTGCAGCAACCAATGTATTAATCAATTATGAAAACAAATAGTCAAGCGTCAATCAAATATCCAATTTGCAAAAAAACACCATTTTCGAGGAAAGGGTCATAGTATATTTATTAAAAATTAGAGGCATTGACGAACAAACTCCTTCAAACCTTTATCGTTATTCTGTTGCTTTGTAGTGTCAGCATTTAAATAATGCATGCGCAAGCTGTGTTATTATTGGCAAATACTGTCCTGTAGTTATAGACAGTACCTGTGTTAGCGATCACCTCTAAGATAAAGGAACCCCGCCTACAAAAGACACTTTTGGCATTTGAGTGATGGATCAGGAGTTGATCAGAAGGGTGCACCGGAATATCAATCATGCAATTCCAACCGATTGCTGTCACTACTAGGTATGCTCTCGGTCGTGATCCGTTACGGCACCACTGAACTGTTGGTCTGGCAGCTCTCCAACAACCAGGGTGACAGCTGGACGCAGGCAGTCGTCAACGTCGGCCGCATCCCAGCGACCTTCAACATCGTGTTCAAGGCCAAGCGGTCGTACATGAGCGGCGGCGACATCGCCATCGACGACATCGAGCTGGCCAGCTGCGCGCTGCCACCCGTGGCGCCCTCGTGTGGCGACGACGAGCTGCGGTGCGCGCGCGGCGCGTGCGTGCACGAGGAGGACGTGTGCGACTTTGCCGACGACTGCGGCGATGCGACGGACGAGGCGGCCGCGCTGTGCGCCACCTACGACACGTGCGACTTTGAGCGCGCGAGCTTCTGCAACTGGACGCACGCCGCGGGCGGCAACACGACGTGGCAACTGAACAGCGGCTCGACATCGTCCAGCAGTACCGGGCCGCTGGTTGACCACACGACCCGGTCCAGCACGGGCATGTACATCTACGTGGAGAGTTCAAATCAGCCGGTCAACTCTACGGCGGCGATAAAGAGCATTGGGTTCAAGTCGGCCGGTCAGACGAGCAGCTGCTACTTCCGGTAAGCTGCTGTTGTGTGCTGCAGCACATTGGTGCACATCATGCTCTTGTGCTCTATTTATAAGAACTTTGTGCGTGTTGTGATGCGATTGGGGGTCCTAAGACTTTTTTATGTGGGGTCTCGGAAACCCAGAGCTTTTAACAAAATCATTTCGGCAAGCATGAACGGTGAAAGCCGTGATGATTCCTCATATATGGATAATTGTGTAAATAACTGCAATAATTATATAGTCAATTGAGCGCATAATAGATTTGAGCTGTGCATCCTAGTTTTGCAACGTGCATAAATATGCATAAATCTCTACGGTTACTGTACATGTTGCTGTAAAGTGAGTGGAAATTAATACTGTGGGCTCGGAATGCATTCCAGGACGAATTCCAGATCTTCATGCGCTATAGCTTACTGATGAGAATGTGGAAATTTTCTGTTAATTACTGTATGATTCTGCTAGGTTCTACTATAACATGTACGGTGGGAAGATGGGGAGTCTTACCGTTTACCAGGTGTCATCTGCTGGTAAGATGACCTCGGTGTGGGAGAGATCGGGAAATGCTGGCCCAACCTGGCATCGTGCCTCAATCAAGCTGACAGAATCTGACAGCTTCCAGGTGACAGAAATATAGATAGATAAATCGATGTGTGGGTGGAAGGGTATGGGCAGTATGGTGGGGTAAGTGCCTGTATATTTCTTGTGTCGAACTCTCTCTCTGTGATGTTTTGCAAGATTATACCCCTGCGTAGCACAGTCGACCCAGTCGGAACTAACTCTTAACGTGTATCAATCTAAATAGATTTTTGCGTTTAAATCGTACGCGCGTCGCCGCAGGTGGTCGTCGAGGCGCGCCTGGGTTTCCCATACACGAGCGACACAGCCGTCGACGACATGAGCTTCTCGCCCGGCTGCGAGCCGCTCGACGGTGGCTTCACGACGGTGGCGCCGGTGTCCTGCGACGCGGCGACCGAGTTTGCGTGCGCGAACGGCATGCAGTGCGTGCCGCTGGGGCAGCTGTGTGACTTCGCGGCACAGTGCTCGGATGGTTCCGACGAAGCGACCTGTGGTGAGTGAGACTGCTACAGAAATCGCTACTTTATTCGACCAATTCTGTCACTCGTCTAGTGTGCAGTTACAGTAGTTACTCCGTGTGAAGATGCACTTGGTGACTGTAGTGTGGCAGTGTAGCTTATAGTGTTGGGCATATATAGTATAGCATAGTGTAGAATAGTGTAGTGTGGTGTGGTGTGGTGTGGTGTGGGTGGTGTGGGTGTGTGTGGTGTGTGTGGGTA